ATATTATATATATATATATATATATAATATATTATTATATACATTTATATATAATATACATATATATATATATATATATATATATATTATACATATATATATTATATATATATATAATATATATATATATATATATATATTCATAAATATGTACACATATATATTTATAAATTAGTATACATATTTAAATACATACATACATATATATATTTTACACATATATATAAGCACATATATGTACATTATATACATTATATATATATATATATATATATATTATATTATATATATATATATATATTTATATATATACATATATATAACTATATATATATATACATACATTATATTATATATATAATATATATATATATAATATATATATATATATATATATATATATATATAATATCACACAACACACACACACAACACACACACATATATATATTAATAATTATATATATATATATATAATGTATATATAATATATATATATATATTATATTATATATATATATATATATATATATATATGCACACACACATATGTGTGTGTGTGTGTAAAAATGTAGATACACATTTATATCTGTGTGTATTTATGTGAATAATTCAAATTTCTCTATCCATTCATTTTTCATTTCACTCGGTATACTGGAATTATTTGTAATCGTATTAGGATGAATAGCCGGGGCTGTAGTAACAGCAATATTATCAGTGACAGTGCTAATAGTAGTATTTTTAACTAACAGTGTTAATAGTAGCAGTTGTAGTAACAACGACAATATAGTAGTTGTAACAGTGTTAATAGTAATAGTACAGTAGTGGCAATAAGAGTAATAGCATAGTCGTGGTAATAAGTGTAATAGCAGTAGTATAGTAGTGATAATAAGAGTAATAGCAGTAGTATAGTCGTGTAATAGAGTAATAGCAGTAATAGTAGTGATAATAAGAGTAATAGCAGTAGTATAGTAGTGGCAATAAGAGTAATAGCAGTAACAATAGAATACCAGTAGGATAGGTATCAGCAGCAGTAGCAGGAGTTCTAGTAGCAGTAAGGCAGAAACAATAATCACGCAACAGGAAAGGAAAACTTGCAAACCGACCCGTTTCGAGTAGAGGCTGAGAGCGGGCGGTTCGCTCCCGTGCAGGTAGTAGTAGAAGGAGAAGCAGTGTCCGGTGTCGCTCGTCGGGACCACCTCGGACACGAGCCGAATCGCAGAGTTGGATCCCATCTTCGTGTCCACGTAGAGGAAGTGTCCTGCGGAAGGGCCAGGACTTTCCGAATGTTTTGCTGGTGGTTTGGTGTTTCCAGTTACAAAAAAAACAAACTTTTCCCATTAATTTCTTGGAATAATGTAGGGACGTAGTGTGCCGTGTATATTCAGATAAATATAGTGACACAGCATCAAGTTTCAAATAAATCTCAGAGAAATTGCATTCCATTTTACGTACAGCTTCATAACCCATAAGACTTCTCTCTAATAAGCCTTTGAAACGGTCTGATGATCCTACAAATTCAATTGAACTTTTTCTTCATCCAGTTTTAGGAGGAGTGTAATGGATTCGGAATAATTAAGTCTGCACTGATAGTGATGAGAGAAACGGTAACGCTGAATTGATAAATTAATACAACATGGAACCTGGTATTCTTAACGGAATTATGTTTACAACTTTTAACTACACCCAAATTATTTATATATATTTAGGATAGATACAACTATCGCCTTTAACAGGAAGTAACGATTTTTAGAATCCTCCATTTGTTCTAAGCGGGCCATTAATATCGATCTACACGTGTAATCTGAATGACGAAGCCTGCCGATACAACAATAACACAGCGCAAATGAATAAACAGGAAACAATCAAACACGTGAAGCAGCGCCTCTCACCCGCCGACAAGTGTAACGTGTGATCTACCGCGGGACCAGGGCTCTTCTCCGCCGTCGCGCCTGCGTGGACGCCGGTTGTCAGCTCCCAGTCCCCATCGTCAGCCGTGTCCTGACTCCAGCCGCAGAAGGAATTGTCCTCGAAGGAGCAGGTCAGCTTGTTCTCGGGAGGAGGGGTCGTTTGGGGGAGTGGGTGCTTCCCGGAGACGGATAACACGTTCCGGAGAATAGCTCGATGTCGTCCAGGGCGATGTACGCTGCATTCGGATATAATGCGATGAATGGAGAAGATGCAAATACTGAGGCAAATTATGAAATAGTAAAAAGAAACCTTTCCTGTGACTAAACGTGTTTTACAGTACACGTAGGTTGTATTTACAAAATATACTTTATTATGTAGAAACTAATTGAACACAATAATAAAAACAAAGTTATCTGGTTTATATATAAAATTAACACCTGTGAATATCCGCTCCATGCGAGTAATAAAGGCAACAGGCAAGTAGCAATGGACAGCCTACTCCTTAAAGTCACACAAACTAACTAAAAAGTAGCATAGGAAACAATATCCAGATGAGATCAGAAAAGTATCGACAACTAACAAGAAGACA